TGGTTGGGTTTTCCAGCCCTGCAGTTTGGGATGGGATTGGGGAATGGTTGGGTTTTCCAGCCCTGCAGGGTTTGGGATGAGGGAATGGTTGGGTTTTCCAGCCCTGCAGGGTTTGGGATGAGGGAATGGTTGGGTTTTCCAGCCCTGCAGTTTGGGATGGCTGCAGGAGCAGGCTGAGCCCCTGCTGGGGTGTTTCAGGAATTTGCCTCTTGTTGAGGGAGTGATAAAACTGTTCTTTGGCTCTTTAGAAAGGAAAAAAGCCCAAAGTTTCTTTCCTCAGTTAGCAAAGAAGACACCTCACAGGACCTGAGGGACTTCACCTCAAACTTAAGGATTGCACAGGAGCCAAAAAGTCCCACCTGAGCAATTTATTAGAAAAAGAAGAGAACAAAGGAACTAATTGCTTTTGTGGGGTGTTTTACCAGGAGGAAGAACCTCCTGCACCTGGCTTGGGTTTTCTCTGTCAAGAGCTTTGTTATTTTGCCTTTTATAAATTTTTTTGGTTTCTAACACCACCATCCTGCTGATTTTACACCTTCTAAGGTAGCTTGGGTGTGAAACAAATCTCCAAAAACATAGGAGACCTGGCTTGAAGAGACCTTACATCAGTGGAGTTAGGGTTTTTTATCCTCTTGCACCTGGCTCAGTATTTCTCTATAAAGAATTTTGTTATTTTGCCTTTTATTAATTTTTTTTTGTTTCCAACACCACCATCCTGCTGATTTTACACATTCTAAGGTAGCTTGGGTGTGAAACAAATCTCCAAAAACTTATGAGACCTGGCTGGAGCAGCCCCTATTGGGCGTGAATGAGGGAATTAATCAATTAATGAATGAATTAATGAATTAATTATGTCCCCTCCTGCAGCATTCCTGCTTCAGCTTCCGCAAGCTGTGGGCGTTCACGGGGCCGGGCTTCCTGATGAGCATCGCCTACCTGGACCCTGGCAACATCGAGTCTGACCTGCAGTCTGGGGCTGTGGCTGGCTTCAAGGTGGGCACGGGGACCCGGGCACCCACGGGGGCACCCACGGGGGCACCCACGGGGCTGGGGGGGCTGGGGGGGCTGGCAGCACCCCACAGAGCGGGGGAAATGGGCCATCCCTGGGGCTCTGGGGACATTTGGGGTGTGCCACCTCTGTGGCTGTGAGGACATTTGGGATCTCCTGTCCCTGTGGCTGTGGGGACATTTGGGGTGTGCCATGTGCACTGGAAAGGGCTGTGAGGACATTTGGGATGTGTCATCCGTGTGAGGACATTTGGGAATGTCCCTGTGTTTGTGGGGACACTGGGGATGTGCCATACCTTCATCTCTGGGAAGGGCTGTGGGGAAAATGTCCCATCCCTGGGACTCTGGGGACATTTGGGATATGCCATCCCTGGGGCTCTGGGGACATTTGGGATGTGCCATCCCTGGGGCTCTGGGGACATTTGGGATGTCCCTGTGGCTGTGGGGACATTTGGGGTGTGCCATCCCTGTGTTTTTGGGGACATTTGGGACGTGCCATGTGTGTCATCCGTGTGAGGACATTTGGGAATGTCCCTGTGTTTGTGGGGACACTGGGGATGTGCCATACCTTCATCTCTGGGAAGGGCTGTGGGGAAAATGTCCCATCCCTGGGACTCTGGGGACATTTGGGATAGGCCATCCCTGGGGCTCTGGGGACATTTGGGATGTCCCTGTGGCTGTGGGGACATTTGGGGTGTGCCATCCCTGTGTTTTTGGGGACATTTGGGACGTGCCATGTGCACTGGGAAGGGCTGTGAGGACATTTGGGTGTCCCATCCCTGTGAGGACGTTTGGGAATGTCCCATCCCAGTGCTCTGGGAAGGGCTGTGAGGACATTGGAGATGTCCCTGTGGCTGTGGGGACATTTGGGAATGTCCCATCCCTTTATTTGTGGGGACATGTGGGATGTCCCATCCCTGTGCTCTGGGAAGGGCTGTGGGGAAAATGTCCCATCCCTGGGGCTCTGGGGACATTTGGGATGTGCCATCCCAGTGGGAACATTTGGGGTGCCCATCCCTGTGTCTGGGGACATTTGGGATGTCCCATCCCTGTGTCTGGGGACACTGAGGACGTCCCATCCCTGTGTCTGGGGACATTTGGGATGTCCCATCCCTTTGTCTGGGGCATTTGGGATGTCCCATCCCTGTGCTCTGGGAAGGGCTGTAGGGAAAATGTCCCATCCCTGGGGCTCTGGGGACATTTGGGATGTACCATCCCAGTGGGAACATTTGGGGTGCCTATCCCTGTGACTCTGGGGACACTGGGGATGGCCCAGAGAGGAGCTGGAGCAGGTCCTGCCCGGGGGTCCCTTTGGTTCCACCCTGCAGCATTTGGGATGTCCCATCCCTGTGCTCTGGGAAGGGCTGTAGGGAAAATGTCCCATCCCTGGGGCTCTGGGGACATTTGGGATGTACCATCCCAGTGGGAACATTTGGGGTGCCTATCCCTGTGACTCTGGGGACACTGGGGATGTCCCAGAGAGGAGCTGGAGCAGGTCCTGCCTTGGTGTCCCTTTGGTTCCACCCCACAGCATTTGGGATGTGCCATCCCTGTGTCTGGGGACACTGGGGATGTCCCAGAGAGGAGCTGGAGCAGGCCCTGCCCTGGTGTCCCTTTGGTTCCACCCTGCAGCATTTGGGATGTCCCATCCCTGTGGGTCTGGGGACATTTGGGATGTCCCATCCCTGTGTCTGGGGACATTTGGGGTGTCCCATCCCTGTGTCTGGGGACACTGGGGATGTCCCATCCCTGTGTCTGGGACATTTGGGGTGTCCCATCCCTGTGTCTGGGGACACTGGGGATGTCCCAGAGAGGAGCTGGAGCAGGTCCTGCCCTGGTGTCCCTTTGGTTCCACCCCGCAGCATTTGGGCTGTGCCCCCAGCTCTGGGATCTGAACTCCCCCAAACCTCAGTGATGGGGTCTGAGCTGGGTGGGGTCTGGGGGCACCTGGGGCTGCCCGTGCCCCCACCCACTGGTGTCCCCGTGTCCCCAGCTGCTGTGGGTGCTGCTGCTGGCCACCATCATCGGGCTGCTGCTGCAGAGGCTGGCAGCCAGGCTGGGCGTGGTCACCGGGCTGCACCTGGCAGAGGTGTGCCACCGCCAGTACCACAAGGTGGGCACGGGGCTGGGCTGGGCTGGGGACACCCCCGGGCCCTCACAGGGGGGCTGGGGTGGGTGGGTGGCACTCCCTGGGGTCCTCAGGGGAAGTGGGTGACACTCCAGGGTCCTCAGGGTGGGGGGGTGTCAGTCCCCCAGGTGCTCCAGGGGCTGGGGTGGGTGGGTGACACTCCCCCAGGTCTCATGGGGTGTGGGGTGGGTGGGTGACACTCTCCCAAGTCCTTAAGGGGGTGGGTGACACTCCCCCAGGTGCTCAGGGTGGGTGGGTGACACTGCCCCAGGTGCTCAGGGTGGGTGGCTGACACTCCCCAGTGCCCCTGGTGGCACCAGGGGCTCCCTGAGGCCCGGCTGCTCCTGGGGGGGGTTCAGGGTCTCCTGGTGCTCCCCTGCCTTGGGGGGCACAAGGAGGGGCAGGGGGATGTTGGCATTTCCCAGCCAGGAATAAAATGGGATTTCAGCTGCCTGCCAGCGCGGGAACGCTGAATATCCCGAGGAACTGAGGGGAATCAGGATTTAGGTGACAACCTGGCTTAGTTTGGGTCATTTCCTGCTTGTCCCCTGCCCTGCCGGGGAATGCCCTGGGTTGGCATGAGGAGGATCTGCTGTGATGAGTGACAGGGGCTGTGGGGGCACTGGGGTGTGCCATCCTGGGCTCTGGGACACTGGGATGTGCCATCCTGGGGCTGTGGGACACTGGGGACACTGGGGTGTGCCATCCTGGGACACTGGGGTGTGCCATCCTGGGCTCTGGGACACTGGGGACACTGGGGTGTGCCATCCTGGGCTGTGGGGAAAATGTGACTGTGAGGAAAATGTCTCATCCCTGACTGTGAGGAAAATGTCCCATCCATGTGGCTGTGAGGATAAACATTCCATCCTTGTGGCTCTGGGGACATTTGGGAATGTCCCATCCCTGTGACTGTGGGGAAAATGTCTCATCCCTGACTGTGGGGAAAATGTCCCATCCCTGTGACTGTGGGGACACTGGGGATGTGCCATCCCTGGGGCTGTGGGGACATTTGGGAATGTCCCATCCCTGTGCACTGGGAAGGGCTGTGAGGACATTGGGGATGTCCCTGTGGCTGTGGGGACATTTGGGGTGTGCCATCCCCGTGACTCTGAGGACATTTGGGGTGTGCCATCCCTTTATCTGTGAGGACATTTAGGATCTCCCATCCCCGTGACTCTGGGGACATTCAGGATCTCCTGTCCCTTTATCTGTGGGGACATTGGGGCTCTCCCATCCCTGTGACTTTGGGGACTTTTGAGTTGTCCCATCCCCATGACTGGGGATGTCCCTGTGACTGTGGGGACATTTGGGGTGTGCCATCCCCATGACTCTGGGGACATTTGGCATCTCCCATCTCTTTGTCTGTGGGGACATTTGGGATCTCCCATCCCCGTGACTCTGGGGACATTGGGGATGTCCCTGTGTCTGGGGACATTGGGAATGCCATCCCTGTGTCTGGGGACATTGGGGATGTCCCTGTGTCTGGGGACATTGGGGTGCCATCCCTGTGTCTGGGGACATTGGGGTGCCATCCCTGTGCCCTTGGGTGTTCCCCATCCTGGCTCGGTGTCCCTGCTGTGCCCTGGAATGTCCCCACGCCCACTCCCACATTCCTGGCTCCCAGCTGGCCCTGTGCCCGGGCCAGCAGCTGGGGTGGCACCGGTGGCCTGGCTCCCCCTGGCACTGCCACAGCAGCTGGGGTGGCACAGGTGGCTCCCCCTGGCACTGCCACAGCAGCTGGGGTGGCACAGGTGGCCTGGCTCCCCCTGGCACTGCCACAGCAGCTGGGCTTTCACCTGCAGAGCAGCCCTGGGTGCCTCCCACCCCAGGGCAGGGCTCTGACCCCATCCCTGCATGCGGGGTCACCATGGGATGATGGTTTTTTCCTGGTTTTTCCCTGCTTTTCCCTAATTTTCTGGTTTTTTCCCTGTTTTTCCTCTGTTTGGTTTTCCCTGGTTTGTTTTTCCCTGCTTTTCCCTGTTTTTCCTTGCTTTCCTCTGGTTTTCCCCCCATTTTCCCCCCTTTTTCCTGTTTTCTCCCCATTTTCCCCATTTTTCTTCCATTCCCATTTCCCCACCTTTTTTCTGTTTTCCCTGTTTTCCCCCTTTTTTTCCCATTTCCCCCCGTTTTCCCCATTTTTATTCCATTTTTTCCCCCACTTTCCCCCATTTTTCTGTTTTCCTCGTTTTTCCCCCATTTTTCCCCCATTTCCCCATTTCCTCCCCCATTTTCCCCATTTTCCCCCATTTTTCCCTGTTTCCCCCTTTTTTCCCCATTTCCCCCGTTTTCCCCATTTTTCCTCCATTTTTTGCTGTTTCCCCGTTTTTCCCCTATTTCTCCCCTTTTCCCCCCCTTTTTTCTGTTTTCCCCCTTTTCCCCCCATTTTTCCCCCTTTTTGTGCATTTTCCCCATTTTTATGGAGACTTCCCCCCAATTTTTGTGCGTTTTCTCCCCATTTTGTGGTGTTTTTTCCCCCATTTTCCCCGTTTTTGGGTTTTTTCCCCCATTTCCCCTCACCTTTCCCCTCCTGCCTCCCCTCCTCGCCGCCGGAGCTGTGGGCAGATTTCGGGGGGTCACCCGGGGGTCACCCGGGGGTCACCCGGGGGTCACCCGGGGGTCACCCGGGGGTCACCCGGGGGTCACGAGGGGTCTCCCCCCCCCAGACCCCCCCATCCCCTTCCAGAACCTTCCTCCTCCTCCTCCTCCTCCTCCTCGTCTGCCATCCCTGTGTCTGGGGACATTGGGGTGCCATCCCTGTGTCTGGGGACATTGGGAATGCCATCCCTGTGTCTGGGGACATTGGGGATGTCCCTGTGTCTGGGGACATTGGGATGCCATCCCTGTGTCTGGGGACATTGGGGTGCCATCCCCGTGCCCTTGGGTGTTCCCCATCCTGGCTCGGTGTCCCTGCTGTGCCCTGGAATGTCCCCACGCCCACTCCCACATTCCTGGCTCCCAGCTGGCCCTGTGCCCGGGCCAGCAGCTGGGGTGGCACAGGTGGCTCCCCCTGGCACTGCCACAGCAGCTGGGGTGGCACAGGTGGCTCCCCTGGCACTGCCACAGCAGCTGGGCTTTCACCTGCAGAGCAGCCCTGGGTGCCTCCCACCCCAGGGCAGGGCTCTGACCCCATCCCTGCATGCGGGGTCACCATGGGATGATGGTTTTTCCTGGTTTTTCCCTGCTTTTTCCCTGCTTTTCCCTGTTTTTCCCTAATTTTCTGTTTTTTTCCCTGTTTTTCCTCTGTTTGGTTTTCCCTGGTTTGTTTTTCCCTGCTTTTCCCTGTTTTTCCTTGCTTTCCTCTGGTTTTCCCCCCATTTTCCCCCCTTTTTCCTGTTTTCTCCCCATTTTTCTTCCATTCCCATTTCCCCACCTTTTTTCTGTTTTCCCTGTTTTCCCCCTTTTTTTCCCATTTCCCCCCGTTTTCCCCATTTTTATTCCATTTTTTCCCCCACTTTCCCCCATTTTTCTGTTTTCCTCATTTTTCCCCCATTTTTCCCCGGTTTCCCCATTTCCTCCCCCATTTTCCCCATTTTTCCCTGTTTCCCCCCATTTTCCCCATTTCCCCCATTTTCCCCATTTTTCCTCATTTCTCCCTGTTTCCCCCATTTCCCCGTTTCTCCCCATTTTCCCCCTGCTTTCCCCATTTTTCCTCAATTTTTTGCCATTTCTCCCCATTTTTCCTGTTTTCCCCATTTTCCCCCATTTTTCCCTGTTTCCCCCCATTTCTCCCCATTTCCCCCGTTTTCCCCATTTTTCCTCCATTTTTTGCTGTTTCCCCGTTTTTCCCCTATTTCTCCCCTTTTCCCCCCCTTTTTTCTGTTTTCCCCCTTTTCCCCCCATTTTTCCCCCATATTTCCCCTGTTTTCCCCCATTTTCCCCCGTTTCTCCCCCATTTCCCCCCCTTTTTTCCTGTTTTTCCCCATTTTCCCCCCATTTTCCCCATTTCCCCTTGTTTCCCCCCATTTTCCCCATTTCCCCTGTTTTTTCACCTGTTTTTTCCCATTTCGCCTTGTTTTCCCTTGTTTTTCTCCCGTTTTTCCCCATTTTCCCCCCATTCCCCATTTCCCCCCATTCCCCATTCCCCCCATTTCCCCATTTTTCCCGAACTTCCCGGGATCCCCCAACCCCGAATTTCCCCAAACCCCGAACTTCCCGGGATCCCCAGCCCAGCCCCACCCAGGGCTGTGTCCCAGTGCGGGCCCCAGGCTGGGCTGGGTTGGACTTGGGGCTTTATTTCCTTTATTTTGCCTGGGTTTGTACCTTTGATTTCATTTATTTTATCTTTGTTTACCGAACTTCCCGGGATCCCGAACTTCCCGGGATCCCCAACCCCGAACTTCCCGGGAACCCCAACCCCGAACTTCCCGGGATCCCCAACCCCGAACTTCCCGGGAATCCCCAAACCCCGAACTTCCCGGGAATCCCCAAATCCCGAATTTCCCAGGAATCCCCAAACCAGCCCCGGTGCCAGCCCAGCCCCACCCAGGGCTGCGTCCCGGGCTGGGTTGGACTCTGGGCCTTTGATTTCCTTTCTTTTACCGTGGTTTGTACATTTTATTTCATTTATTTTACCGTGGTTTGTACCTTTATTTCATTTATTTTATCCTTGTTTCTACCTTTGATTTAATTCATTTTACCTTTGATTTCCTTTTATTTCCTTTATTTTACCTTGGTTTGTACCTTTAATTTCCTTTATTTTACCTTTGTTTATACCTTTGATTTCATTTATTTTACCTTGGTTTGTACCTTTGATTGGTTTTACCTCTGTGTCTTTGATTTCATTCATTTTGCCTTTGATTTGATTTGTTTTACCTTTGTATCTTTGGTTTCATTTGGTTTATCTTTATATCTTTGATTTAATTTGTTTTATCTTTATATCTTTGATTTGGTTTGTTTTATCTTTGCACCTTTGATTTGATTTGTTTGCATCTTTGATTTAATTTGTTTTATCTTCATATCTTTGATTTAATTTGTTTTACCTTTGTTTGTACCTTTGATTTCATTTGTTTTATCTTTGTATCCTTGATTTAATTTGTTTTTACCTCTGTATCTTTGATTTGATTTCTTTTACCTTTGATTGTACCTTTGATTTATTTATTTTACTTTTGATTGTACCTTTGATTTGATTTCTTTTACCTTTCTTTGTACCTTTGATTTCATTTGTTTTACCTTTGTTTCAGTTTGTACCTTTAATCTGATTTCTTTTACCTTTGATTGTACCTTTGATTTCCTTTGTCTGTTTCTTTGTACCTTTAATTTGATTTCTTTTCCCTTTTTTTGTACCTTTTGGTCACAAAATCAGGGTGCAGCTTCCTGCAAACTCCACATCCCATCAGGGCTCCTGGGAAGGGGGAACGGGGAGTGCAGGACTCAGGAATTCCTGGGGCAGGACAGTGATGCAGCGGCTCAGATTTGGTGCAATATTTCAAATTTGGTGCAATATTTCAAATTTGGAGCAATATTTCAAATTTGGTGCAATGTCTGAAATTTGTGCGATGTCTTAAATCTGGTGCAATGTTTTGAATTTGATGCAATATTTCAAATTTGGAGCAATGTTTTAAAATTGCTGCAATGTCTGAAATTTACTTCAATGCCTTAAATTTTGTGCAATGTCTTAAATTTTCTGCAATATTTTACATTTGGTGCAATGTTTCAATTTGGTGCAATATTTTAAATCTGGTGCAATATTTTAAATCTGGTGCAATATTTTAAATCTGGTGCAATATTTTAAATCTGGTGCAATATTTTAAATCTGGTGCAATATTTTAAATCTGGTGCAATATTTTAAATCTGGTGCAATATTTTAAATCTGGTGCAATATTTTAAATCTGGTGCAATATTTTAAATCTGGTGCAATATTTTAAATCTGGTGCAATATTTTAAATCTGGTGCAATATTTTAAATCTGGTGCAATATTTTAAATCTGGTGCAATATTTTAAATCTGGTGCAATATTTTAAATCTGGTGCAATATTTTAAATCTGGTGCAATATTTTAAATCTGGTGCAATATTTTAAATCTGGTGCAATATTTTAAATCTGGTGCAATATTTTAAATCTGGTGCAATATTTTAAATCTGGTGCAATATTTTAAATCTGGTGCAATATTTTAAATCTGGTGCAATATTTTAAATCTGGTGCAATATTTTAAATCTGGTGCAATGTTTCAAATTTGCTGCAATATTTTACATTTGGTGCAATATTTTAAATCTGGTGCAATATTTTAAATCTGGTGCAATGTTTCAAATTTGGTGCAATATTTTAAATTTGGTGCAATATTACATTTGGTGCAATGTTTCACATTTGCTGCAATATTTTAAATCTGGTGCAATATTTTAAATCCGCTGCAATAGTTTAAATTTGCTGCAGTATTTCAGATTTGGTGCAATATTTCAAATCTGCTGCAGTATTTTAAATCCGCTGCAATATTTCACAGCTTGCTGAACAAGTAGCTCAGGAGTTTGTTCCCCGTGTGTCCGATCTCCTTCTGAATATTTTGTTTTCTTTCAGCAGAGAGTTCACCTCTCTCTGCATCCCTGACCTCCATTCTCACACTCTTTTCATTCCCTTCTTCGGGCAAAACATTTTTGGGGGCAAAATAAGAACTTGCTCCATCCCAGGGTCTTTTTGGGTGGGAAATCATGACAATTTTCAGTATTTTGTTGCCCCCCTGGGACATCCCCCGGGAATCCATCTGCTCCTGGGGAGCCCCCACCCTACAGCTCACCCCAAAAAAACCCTAAAGAGAGGGGATGTGGAGCTCTGGGGGATCCATCTGCCCTGGGGAGCCCCCACCCTACAGCTCACCCCAAAAAAACCCTAAAGAGAGGGGGTGTGGAGCTTGGGGGGCACTGACCCCGCTGTCCCCACAGGATCCCTCTCTGGGGGGGAGTGCTCATCACCATCGCCGACACCTTCGTCTTCCTCTTCCTCGACAAATACGGTGAATTCTGCTCGGGGAGTGGGAGTGGGCGTGGGAATGGGATTGGGATTGGGATTGGGATTGGGACTGGGAGTGGGAGTGAGAATGGGAACATCGCCGACACCTTCGTCTTCCTCTTCCTCGACAAATACGGTGAATTCTGCTCGGGGAATGGGATTGGGAGTGGGATTGGGAGTGTGGGAGTGGGAATGGGATTGGGAATGGGAATGGGGTTGGGATTGGGACTGGGATTGGGAGTTGGATTGGGAATGGGATTGGGATTGGGAAGGGGGTTGGGGTTGGGAGTGGGAGTGGGAATGGGATTGGGGTTGGGATTGGGACTGGGATTGGGAGTGAGAGTGGGGTTGGGACTGGGGTTGGGGTTGGGACTGGGAGTGGGTTTGGGACTGGGATTGGGAGTGGGGATTGGGACTGGGAATGGGATTGGGGTTGGGGTTGGGACTGGGAATGGGAGTGAGAGTGGGGTTGGGACTAGGATTGGGAGTGTGGGAGTGGGAGTGGGATTGGGAGTGGGATTGGGACGTCTTCCTCTTCCTCGACAAATACGGTGAATTCTGCTCGGGGAGTGGGAGTGGGCGTGGGAATGGGATTGGGATTGGGATTGGGATTGGGACTGGGAGTGGGAGTGAGAATGGGAATGGGATTGGGAAGGGGGTTGGGACTGGGATTGGGAGTGGGGTTGGGGTTGGGACTGGGGTTGGGGTTGGGACTGGGAGTGGGTTTGGGACTGGGAATGGGATTGGGGTTGGGGTTGGGGTTGGGTCTGGGATGAGACTGGGATTTGGTTTGGGATTGCGACTGGGATTGGGATTGGGACTGGGATTGGGAGTGAGATTGGGGTTGGGGTTGGGACTGGGATTGGGATTAGGGTTGGGATTGGGTCTGGGATTGAAATTGGGATTGGGCCTGGAATTGGGTTTTGGACTGGGATTGTGATTGGGTTTGGGACTGGGATTGGGTTTGGAATTGGGATTGGGTCTGGGTTTGGGATTGGGATTGTGTTTGGTATTGAAATTGGTTGGGTTTGGGATTTGGTCTGGGATTGGGATTGAGTTTGGAATTAGGATTGGGTCTGGGATTGGGATTGGGTCTGGGATTGGGATTGAAATTGGGATTGTGTTTGGTATTAAAATTGGGATTGGGGTTGGGTTTGGGTCTGGAATTAGGATTGGGTCTGGGATTGTGTTTGGGTTTGGAATTGGGATTGAAATTGGGTTTGAGTCTGGAATTAGGATTGGGTCTGGGATTAGGGTTGGGTCTGGGTTTGGGTTTGGGCTCTTCTCAGCTTGCTGACAAAGGGACTTCTCCTCCTTGCAGGCCTGAGGAAGCTCGAGGCGTTCTTTGGGCTCCTCATCACCATCATGGCCCTGACCTTCGGATATGAGGTGCCCACCCCAGGAGACCCTGAGGGGTCCAGAGGCAGGAGTGGGGCTGGGGAAGGGGCTGCAGCACCAGGAGGGGCTGAGGGAGCTGGGGAAGGGGCTCAGCCTGGAGAAAAGGAGCTCAGGAGGGGCCTTGGATCCCCACAACAGGAGGGGACAGCCAGGTGGGGCCAGGCTCTGCTCCCAGGGACAGGAGGAGACAAAAAGGCATCCAGGGCAGGTTTTTAGGATTTTAGAGATAGTTCCTTCATGGAAAAGCAGCTCAGGTGGAGTCCCTACAACTGCCTGACAGGGGAAACAGTCAGGTGGGGTTCAGGCTCTGCTCCCAGGGACAGGAGGAGGCAAAAAGGCATCCAGGAGAGATTTAGGTTGGAATTTAGGGGAAAATCCTTCATGGAAAAGCAGCTCAGGTGGAGTCCCCACAATTCTGACAGGGGAAACAGCCAGGTGGGTTCAGGCTCTGCTCCCAGGTGAGAGGATGAGAGGAAATGTCCTCCTGGGGGAGGCTGAGGTTGGGTACTGGGGACAATTCCTGCCTGGAAAGGGCTGTCACACTGGTACAGTGCCCAGGAATTTAAAGCCACGTGGCTGCGGCACTTGGGGACACGGGCAGTGCTGAACCCACTGATCCCAGAGTCTTTCCCATCCTTAAGAACCTTTTCCAGTCCTTACCAGTTCCACCATTCAGTGCTGGGATCCCACCCCTGTGCCAAAACAGCACCAAACACAGGGGGGGACACTTAAAATCAAGGAGATTTGAGTCTGCCTCGTGGTTTCTCTCTGGAGCACCCCAAAACTTGTTTTCCCCGTTTCCCTATCCCTGACCCCAAAACTCCGTTTCCCTGACCCCAAAACTCTGTTACCCTGTCCCTGTGCCCAAAACTCCCCGTTTCCCTGTCCCTAACCCTAAAATTCCCTTTCCCTGACCCCAAAACTCTGTTTCCCTGTTGCTGATCCCAAACCTCCCTGTTTCCCCGTCCCTGACCCCAAAATTCCCTGTCCCTGACCCAAATCCTGCCTGTTTCCCTGTCCGTGACCCCAGACCTGCCTGTTTCCCCGTCCCTGACCCCAAACCTGCCTGTTTCCCTGTCCCTGACCCCAAACCTGCTGTTTCCCTGTCCCTGACCCCAAACCTCCCTGTTTCCCTGTCCCTGACCCCAGACCTGCCTGTTTCCCTGTCCCTGACCCCAAACCTGCCTGTTTCCCTGTCCCTGACCCCAAACCTGCCTGTTTCCCTGTCCCTGACCCCAAACCTGCTGTTTCCCTGTCCCTGACCCCAAAATTCCCTGTCCCTGACCCAAATCCTGCCTGTTTCCCTGTCCGTGACCCCAGACCTGCCTGTTTCCCCGTCCCTGACCCCAAACCAGGAATGTTTGAAATCTCAGATTGTATCCAGGGAGGAATGTTTGAAATCTCAGGTTCTATCCAGGTAGGAATGCTTGGCTCCTCCCCTGGGTGGAACATCTCCCAATGGGATGATGGAATTGTATCAGGCATGCAGGGACACTCACTGGCCATGAACAGAAGCTAATTAATAATTAATGGCCCATGAACAGAAGAGCATTAATAATTAATGGTCCATTAACAAGAGATATCTCCTGGAGGGAGGATTGGTTATGGGAGAGATTAAGAAAACTGCCCAATGAACAGCAGATAATTACCTAATTAACATAAGATATCTGCTCCAATTAACATAAGATAGCTGCCCAATGAACAGCAGATAACTGCCCAATTAACAGAAGATATCTGCCCAAATTAACAGAAGATAACTTCACAATTAACAGAAGATATCTGCCCAAATTAACAGAAGATAACTTCACAATTAACATAAGATAGCTGCCCCAATTAAGAGAAGATAGCTGCCCAATCAACATATCTGTCCAAATTAACTTATCTGCTCCAATTGACATATCTGCCCCAGTGAACAGAAGATCTCTGCCCAATTAACAGAAGATACCTGCCCCAATTAACAGATGATCTTTGCCCAATGAACAGAAGATCTCTGCCCAATTAACAGAAGATATCTGCCCAATTAACAGATGGTCTTTGCCCAATGAACAGAAGATCTCTGCCCAATTAACAGAAGATATCTGCCCAAATTAACAGAAGATAACTTCCCAATTAACATAAGATAGCTGCCCAATTAAGAGAAGATAGTTGCCCAATGAACAGAAGATAGCTGCCCAATTAACATATCTGCCCAAATTAACTTATCTGCTCCAATTGACATATCTGCCCCAGTGAACAGAAGATCTCTGCCCAATTAACAGAAGATACCTGCCCCAATTAACAGATGATCTTTGCCCAATGAACAGAAGATCTCTGCCCAATTAAGAGAAGATAACTGCCCAATTAACAGAAGATATTTGCCCAAATTAACAGGAGATATCTGCCCCAATTAACAGAATATGTCTGCCCCAATTAACAGAAGATCTCTTCCCAATTAACAGAATATATCTGCCCAATTAACAGACGATCTCTGCCCAATTAACAGAAGATAACTGCCCAAATTAACAGAATATATCTGCCCCAATGAACAGAAGATCTCTGCCCAATTAAGAGAAGATAACTGCCCAATTAACAGGAGATATCTGCCCCAATTAACAGAAGATCTCTGCCCTCGTTCTACTGGATGGCAGTAGAACACACAATTCCACCCTGAGGCAGGTGTGGCATCCAGGGCTGTCCCTGCCAGGCAGGATCCGTGTCCCACCATCAGCTCCGATCCCAGGGGCTCACAGGGAATTCTGTCCCCCCTCCTGTCCCCGTCCCTGTCCCTGTCCCTGTCCCTGTCCCCCAGTCGCGGCAGGTGAACCGAGCCGACAAGAGGGAGGTGAGGGAGGCCAACAAGTATTTCTTCATCGAGTCGTGCATCGCGCTCTTCGTCTCCTTCATCATCAACATCTTCGTGGTGACCGTCTTCGCCGAGGCCTTCTTCAACAAGACCAACGCCAACGTGGTGGGTGCCACTGGGGGGCACTGGGAGGGACTGGGGGGCACTGGGAGGGACTGGAATGGACTGGGACCCAATTAACAGAAGATATCTGCCCAAATTAACAGATGATCTTTGCCCAATTAACAGAAGATATCTGCCCAATTAACAGAAGATATCTGCCCTCATTCTACTGGATGGCAGTAGAACACACAATTCCACCCTGAGGCAGGTGTGGCATCCAGGGCTGTCCCTGCCAGGCAGGATCCGTGTCCCACCATCAGCTCCGATCCCAGGGGCTCACAGGGAACTCTGTATTCCACCCTGAGGCAGGTGTGGCATCCAGGGCTGTCCCTGCCAGGCAGGATCCGTGTCCCACCATCAGCTCCGATCCCAGGGGCTCACAGGGAATTCTGTCCCCCCTCCTGTCCCCGTCCCTGTCCCTGTCCCTGTCCCTGTCCCCCAGTCGCCAGGGGCTCACAGGGAACTCTGTCCCCCCTCCTGTCCCTGTCCCTGTCCCTGTCACCCCCTCCTGTCCCTGTGCCCCAGTCCCGGCAGGTGAACCGAGCCGACAAGAGGGAGGTGAGGGAGGCCAACAAGTATTTCTTCATCGAGTCGTGCATCGCGCTCTTCGTCTCCTTCATCATCAACATCTTCGTGGTGACCGTCTTCGCCGAGGCCTTCTTCAACAAGACCAACGCCAACGTGGTGGGTGGCACTGGGGGGCACTGGGAGGGACTGGGAGGGACTGGGGGGCACTGGGATGGACTGGGAGGGACTGGGGGGCACTGGGGGGGACTGGGGGGCACTGGGAGCGCTGGGGGCATACTGGACACCT